GCTTGTTTTTTTTTTAGCATATTACCTGGAACTTAAAAAAATGATAGCGGGGAACTACATATGGCACATTTTTTGCCATTGAAGATTTACAAATCTAGTTAGACAAACAAATATATCAAATGAATAGTACTTGTGAAAGGCAATTATAATCCATTCCAGCATTGCTCATGGTTTACTATGTATCCTACAATGAATTTCTTTAAAAACATTTTTAAAAATATTTCTTTGGTCAAATAAATATGGGTAATGATGAATATTTTGAGAGTCACAATGTATATTATTCTCTTCAAGAATCTGAGATGTTCTTGGCATAGCCTTGCCTTCTGTGGTGAACTCAGAGTATTTATTACTTATGAATTCTACTTGCTATCATTCTCGGCTCTCTGCCCTCTTACATTTAAAGGTACCCCCATAACATGGATTCAGACCTTTAATGTTTAGTCTCACAATAGTTGTCAAATTTGCCCGTCTACTTTTTCTTGTAATATAAAAATCTATATTTAAAAGTACCCCAGGATTGCCGATTCTGTTCACTTAAAAGTATAGTTATAGATTCTTTTTTTTTTTAATGTTTATTTACTCTTGAGAGAGAGAGAGAGAGAGCAACAGAGCATGAGGAGGGGAGGGGCAGAGAGAGGGGGAGACACAGAATCCGAAGCAGGTTCCAGGCTCCGAGCTGTCAGCACAGAGCCGGATGCAGGGCTGGAACCCACGAACTGCAAGATCATGACCTGAGCTGAAGCTGGACGCTTTACCGACTGAGCCACCCAGGCACCCCTGGGTTCTAATTAATGTTACACTATTTTAAAATAGAAACTGCATTGCTTTATATAACAAAACCAGTCCAGTTATAACTATTTCCGTTAAAAGAAATTAGCTGTGAAGCCAAAATTAATTTAAATATCATGTTATAAACAGTTTGTTTTTTTCCAGTATTTTGAGTTTGAAGTCTTAGAACAGATTGAAGTATAGTTTTAACCTTTGGGTTTTATTTAATTTTTTAATTTCAAGTTTGTTCAGGCTTTAGTACCTTTCCTCTTTTACTAGTTGAAATAATTTATGCAAATTTTTCTTGCTTCCTTTGTGACTGAGCTTTCTGCAAAGGTTATTTCTGTCTCTTTGTGGTCAGGTCATTATCTCAGGGTAATTTTTCCCTCCCATGTTTTTTTGGGGAGGAAGGAACTGCCCACCACTCATAATTATGGACCCAGATTCATCAGAACTTTTTAAATTCCAGCAAGAGGCACTCTTGTGTAGTCATACCCTTATTGGTGTGCCTTCTTAGGGGTTTCTTTTCTTTTTTTCTTTTTTATGTTGTGTTAGATGCCTTTTGAACTGTCTTTTTTTTTTTTTTAAACTGAAGTGTGATTATTAGTTTCAGGTATACAGTGTAGTGATAAAATCACTCTATACTTAGGCTGTGCTCACCACAAGTGTAGCTACCATCTGTTACCACACAGGCTATTACAATACCATTAACTGTATTCCCTATGCTGTCTGTACCTTTCATCCCTATTAGTTACTTATTCCATAACTAGAAGCCTGTACTTCCCACTCCCCTTCACCCATTTTGCCCATCCTCTCACCACTTGGGGGTTTCTTTTTTACTGAATCATTTTTTATGGTCAGAAACTTTATTTAATGTTAAGTGCTCTTTTCCTCAGCAAGGTTTTCTGAAGCAGCTAATAGCTGCACCAGTTATCTTTGGGAAACCACACAACCTACCTACCTTTATCATAGTGCTGACATTTTGGTGTCTTTGTTTTTTTTTTAAATTTTTTTTAACATTTATTCATTTTTGAGAGTGAGAGAGACAGAGTGTGAGTGGGGGAAGGGCAGAAAGAGAGGGAGACACAGAATCTGAAGCAGGCTCCATGCTCTGAGCTGTCAGAACAGAGCCTGATGCGGGGCTCGAACTCACGGACAGGGAGATCATGACCTGAGCTGAAGTTGGACGCTTAACCAACTGAGCCACCCAGGCCCCAATATTTTGTGTCTTAATTATACTTGTTTCACTTTGTAGGGGAAGAAAAAAATGTTTCCTCTACCTGTCTTAGGTTCATTCCCTGGGGCTCTGAAAATTAGACTGACAAAAAAGGAAAACAAAACAGATTAACAAGAGAAAAACAGTTTATTAATGTGTGCAGTACACATCCTGCAGAAGAAACCTCACATAATGAGTAACTCCAGTGAGTGGTTTGGGCTTGGGTAGCATCTTAACAAAGAATAATAAATTCATAGAGAGGTGACAGGTAAAAACAAAAGGGATTTTAGGCTTCCAACATCAGGAAATTATGGGAAGGTAAATATATTTGGAAAACTAATAGCATATGTGGGTTATTTGTCTAGATCTATCTTGGCACCAACTTTCCATCTTCTTCATGGCCATAAAACTTCTTTGGGAGGGGGGATTTATAGCAGTCTTCATTTCTGAGAGGCTTCTGCTTTTAGTTTGATAAAGTATGCTCAGGGAAGACTCTTTCTGTACTGGCAGATTCTCATTTGCCTCTCTCTCATTTGCCTGCTCAAAATTAATCTTTATGCCAAAGTAGCATATTCTGCTACCTTTCAACTTCTTGAAATTGAGCTTCTGAAGGGCAGAAATATTATCTATTCTCTGTTCGCCTGAGTTGCAGTATCAAGCAGACAGCAATCACTCTTTATAAATATTTGTTGAGTTAATGAACAGAGCCCATCAACTATTTTGGCCATGAACTCAATATGGTGTTCCCCTAGTTCATACTTACTATTCTGCAAAAGAGGAATTCCTAGAGAATTCCTGATATTTTGGCAGTAGATCGTTTGGTCACTCTTTGATGGTAAAGATTCATGTTGATTAAATGTAGATCATGGAATGTACTTATATAAATTATCTTGCAAATATATCTGATCAGTCATTTCATTTATAGAAGTACAGTACAGTTGTCAGATGGTCAAATGCCTATTCTTTCTTACAAAGAAACTAGTTAAATGAGTACTCAAATTTTTTAGTGATTAAAGGAACTCCTAACTAGAACTACAGAGTAAGTAGCTACTAGTAACTAACTAGAATGTTCCTAAGTGGGAGGAAAACATTCAAATTCAAAATCACATTAATTCCTAATAAATGTTTTCAAACATGAATAAAGCATGTGAATCCAGAAACACATATTTATCATTTGTCATTTCAATCACTGAACCTCACTTTTCTACTATATTTCTGTGTTTTACTTCTGCACACACCATAATCTTTTCATTTTTGCCATATTTTATAGCCTGTATGCTTAAGCTTTTACCCAGACACAGTTTTCTGACAGATTAAATGTCCTAGCAATTCAGTTTTAATGATTACTAGGTTTCTCATACTAATAGTAAATTTAAAATAATAATGCAATGTTAAAGATGATAATCTATAAACAATTAGACAGTTTAAAAGGAGATTTTGTTTAGGGACAGTTGTTCTCTTTTATCCTCCGTAAGTAGGTAAAGGGCAAAACGTCCTTACTTATATGCTGTATACAACCCACAATTTTTCAGGGAGAGTTCTATAGGAGAGGCAAGTTTACATCAGCATTGTTTGAGAACGTAAAGACCCCTTACTTCATTTCCAAATTTTGGAAAGAGGAAAAGACACTTAGAAACTATTTAGCTAACCCTACATCCTCTCTAGAACCCCTTCTCCTTTTGGCACACATGAACTTGAGGTCTTCTCTACCTTTCTTAATAGGGTAATAAGAAAGACATTTTGAAACAGACCTTTGACTCTTGACAAAGTGTACAACTAGAAAAAACCCTTAAGTTGTAATTGGTAGCAGTTAGGGAATACTAAGAAAATAAGCAAAAATCACACACAAAAAATTTTATCAGAATAATTTTGTGAGTTTTCCTCTTCTGTTTTAAGAGATTTTTAAATTGCTTTATTCTTGTTTTTCCTTTTCCAAAAGAAACTGAATTAAAAACCATTGTAACTCTCAATAACTATACCATTTTGAAGTCTGCCTGTCTACAAAGCTATAGCCAAGGTACCTCATTTCTGGAAAAAGAATCTAAGAACAAATGCTTTTGAGTGAGGCACAAGCAAATTAAGTCTATAGAAGTAAAATAAATAATGTATTTGTCTCTTCTTAATCCTTTTTTGATTTCTCTTTCTGTGGGTATCTGGAAGCATTTTGAGTATATTTATTATAGGTTAATACTTGTGATCTCCTTGCATAGTGATATAGGAAGCAAACTGGACAGAAATGGCTAAGGACAAATTTTGGTGAATAAAAGCAGATAATATACAAATACTAATTAAGTATTTGTGGCCACATGAAAATTTCATAATTGGTTCTAATAATAAATGTTATTAGTCAATAATTGAGAAATAGATAAACATGAAGAAAATAAAAATCATTCATAATCATTTCGTGCAGTTAAAATTGCTATTGAATTTTTTTAAATATATGTAATATGTATTTTTAACACAATTTGGAATGTTTTCTATATCCTGATTTTATTTATTTTTATTTTTTTATTTTTTTTTTAATTTTTTTTCAACGTTTTTTATTTATTTTTGGGACAGAGAGAGACAGAGCATGAACAGGGGAGGGGCAGAGAGAGAGGGAGACACAGAATCGGAAGCAGGCTCCAGGCTCTGAGCCATCAGCCCAGAGCCCGACGCGGGGCTCGAACTCATGGACCGCGAGATCGTGACCTGGCTGAAGTCGGACGCTTAACCGACTGTGCCACCCAGGTGCCCCTATCCTGATTTTATTTTTACTTGAAACTAGATTTGGGTCTTTTCCCAAGTTGCTAAATTTGGAAAATTTTGAATTTTTTATCTTTTTATTCATAGACTCCTGTTCAGTGAATGAGCCAGTAATTTATCCAGTTCCCTATTGTTTTCAACTTGTTACAGTTGTAACAAGGCTGCATATATATAATTACTAGTGAGGTTAAACATTTTTTCATATACTTCTTAAATGGGTGTATCATTTATGAAAAAATTATGTATAAGTTACTTATTGTTTCTGTCACAGATCTAAACGAAGCAAGATCTTACTAAAGCTAAAAAGGCAGAAAGAAGAAGAGGATCGCAGATTACAGTTGCACATTCAAAGACAGAGAGCCATGAGACTGTCCCGAGAATTACGGCTGAGTATGCTTGAAATAGTTCATCCAGGTGTGTGGCAATGTCAATTTTCTAAGTGTAAAAATATTTAAAGCATCTTTTAATGAGCCAGATTTCCCACTACCTGATTTTTTTTTTCTTTTAATTTGGACTGTTTCCCTGTTTCTCCCTTTTCCAGGTAAACCTTGTTAAATCTCAAGTCAAAAAGAAAAGTTACTATTTTTTCTGATTAAGGCCTATTATTGATGATGAGCAGTCTCTCAACTAGTTTTCATATCTTTTGGATAAATTAGTGAAACATAAAAATATGTGATAGCTTTAAAGATAGCTTTCAGAGACATAGAGAAAGAATCCCCTTGACCCTAAGTAAGGAGTTTGAATATTGCTACATTCTGGCATCTGAACTTTACTCATACACCAGTATAAACCTTGTGACATCTTACCACCTTTGATACACTAAACTGAGATTAATATTACAGTCTGGGGATTGGAATGGTTTTAAGATTGTTTTTGTTCTTCCCCTTCCCCTCCTACCACTCACTCCCAGTGTTCTCCACTACCCTCTTATTTCTCATTTTTTCCCTTAAATATAAATGTTTCATAGTGTTCCATCTTTACTCCTCACTCTCATGTTGCTCTTTCTGCAGTATCTTATCCGTAACTATAGCTTCAACTACCAGCTGAGTGAACATTCAGATCTTGTTTGCATCTTCACCCTCCCAAGCTCTAAACCAGCACTTCCTAATAAACCTTTTTACAAAATGAAATGTTCTTTATTTGCACTGTTTAATATGGTTCCCACTGGCTAGACATGACCATTGAGTACTTGAAATATGGTTAGTGCATGCAAGCACATGAATCTTTAATTTCGCTTTATTTAAAGTAGCTATTTGTGGTTAGTGTCAACTATATTGGACTGCACAGCTCTGTAGCCAGTTCTCTATTGGATAGCTTTACTTAGATATCCACAGGCATCCTAAAACTAGTCATTATCTCCCCACTTCCCCCACCAATTTCCTCTCCCTGTATTCCCCTTCTCAGATAATGGCACCAACAATCCACTCAATTTCCCATCTGTGAGACGCCCTAGAGTTCTTTCTCACGTACAACGAGTCTGAGAAAGGAAAAAAAAAAGTCATCTGTAGATAAGAGAAATTTAGAAGTACACAGAGTAGTTAATACATATACACATTTTGCCTTTTCCCTCTCGTGGTATGGATTGAATTCCTACTATGTACTTGGGATTCTTTTTTCTAAATATTCTTATTATTGGATTATTAATATTAACCCTTTTCTCATTACTTTGCCACAAAAAAATTATATGAATCTTTTCTCTAAAAGAAGCGACATAATCTGAGAAAGCTTTTGGAGTTTTTTTTTTCCTACTATGTTAGAACTACTGTAAAATAATAAAATTGGGGAAATTAATGAACAATATTTAAAGAAACAAATAAAAAGACCATAAGATTGTTGTTATTATCATTGTCCTGATTCCAGAACTTGAGAAAGCATAGTAATTGAGTATGTTGTAATAGTGTGTGTCATCTTTCTAGGTCAGGTGGAAAAACATAATCGGGAAATAGAAGAGAAATCAGCATTGATTATCCAGAAACACTGGAGAGGGTACAGGGAAAGGAAAATTTTTCGCCAACAGAGGCCATCTCTCACGGAGTATAAAGCAGCTGTCACACTTCAGAGAGCAGTGAGTCTAATGTAGTAAAAAGATTACTGGATTAGGAGGCAAAAACATGGATTCAAACCTGACCTTGGATATACCTGCTGTAAAGTCTAGTCACGGAGCTTTTCTGAGTCTTAGTTTCTTCCTCTATAAAATAAGAACCTCTTTACCACTGGACAAACTGATTTAGACACCCAGTCCTTAGTACTTCCATTGAACCTTGAACATCATTTATCATACTGCAGTGTTATTTGTTCGTTTTTTTTTTTTTCTTTCTTGGCCTGTGACTTCCTGAAGGGTAAGGAACTCTTATTTATTGTTGTCAGCCTTCAGCATGTGCTTGGTATATGAATGGATGTTTACCGTACCTTTTTCGCTTGTTATGTGAGTCAGATGACCTGATTTTTGGGAAAGTATTTTATAAAGTGCAAAGCCTGTACCAGTTCAGCACAGATAATTATATCTATATTAGATATAATTGGATCACTGTAATTCTTGAATTATAGAATGGTGTTCTTAATTGATAATTTTCCTGAGATTTATCTGGAGCATAGTAATATTTTATTGCCTTGGAAAAGTATAGCAAACAGGCTATTTATTTCATTCAGTGACCAATTTTCCTAACATCTGTTATTTGCTTATACCTGTTAACTTTCAGGTCTATAGGATTTCGGGTCTATAGCAGTTATCTTTATGATACTTTATTGTTGAATTTTAGGTTAATTTCAGTTTTTTACAGTGATAAATTTTGAATAGTCTCTTTGTTAATTCTCCATGATTAACTTCTTACAAAGATAATTAAAAACCACTCTTTAAAAAATAGGAAAGAGTAAGTACTAAAAAAAATAGGAAAAAGTAAGTAAGGAAAGAGAAGTAGGTAGATTTCTGTTGCCCCCTTCTTCCTCAGACTTTTTGGGTGATGTCAGGCTCTGTCTGAAACAAACAATCCTATACCATCACCAAACAACACTCACACATGCTTTTTACCCTCTGCTACATAAGGCCATCTAAGAACCTATGGATATCCATGTTGGAGATACTTCTTTTAGGGGAGGAACACTTGGGTGCTTTCTAGTACTTTTTATCTCATGGCTTCCTCCTTTTTAAATTCTTTTCTGTCAGAGAATCAACTAGGACCTTATGAAATTGAATTACTACTTTGACAATTTAGATAAGCCCAATATTTTATAAAAGGATCCTGTACTCTAAAATGAGGTACCCCAGTTTGTCCACCGTTCCTTAAAGAAAGAAGCACAGAGGTCGTTATAGAGGAGGATATCTGACAGCTATGAAGGCAAAGTCATTTTGGCTTTCACAATTTTTTTTTTTGGCATAAAAGGAAAAAGATTAGTCATATCTGCCTCATGTCTCCCCCACCCAAAAGAAGGAATACAAGTCTCCATTGTAAGACAAAAAGGGATGGGTCAAGGTCATGTTTTGTTCTTTGCAGCTCACTACTAGAAATAATGGTGAAGTCAAAGCAAAACTAGCCAAAAATAGAAAAGGTAGGAAGAGAATTCCTTTCAAAGAGGGAAAAGAGAAACAAATCATTATGAAGTACAGAGAGGGAAATGAAAGTAGTAGAGAAAATTAGGATAAGGCAATCAGTGGTCAGTAAACAACACATTTCACTACATTTCAAAGCATCCTTTTTTAAGACATACTAAAGACCTGTGTATAGACTATGTCCAATACAGTACCCACTAACTACATGTGAGTACTGAGCACTTGACATGCAGCTAGTCAAAATTTGCATGTGCCATAAGTGTAAAAGACCACATTTTGAAGACTTAGTATGAGAGTGTAAAATACTTCATTAATAATTTTTATATTGAATATATGTTGAAGTGCCAATATCTTTTACATATATTGAGTTATATATAGTATGTTTATATAGCTCAGTATTTGCAAAATATTAATTTTGACTGTTCCTTTTACTTTTTTTATATGGCTACTAGAAAGTTTAAAATTACATATGTGACTTCCATTATATTTTTATTAGCACTACTATTGATCTTAGTAAGAAAAAAAAGGAATAATTAATTAGTTTCACTGAAAGTAGTAGGAATATCATTTCCTTGAACTTGTCCTTTGGGAGGAGCTGCTTTTTAGTGTTTTTGGCAGGAAAAGGCCAGAACTATGTTTTGCCTGTCTCCCTTCCTTATTTTTTTGCAAAAGGAGAGGCATTGTTTCTCATGTAATTAGAAATTGAAAAAACCCTATGTAAACTTGCTAATTTCAAATTACACATTTTTAACCCAGATAATAAGTGGGAGTTCTTTGTAGTGGTATAGTGTTGAAATTAAGTTTGAAGAGTTAGCTGCATTTTCCCTTTTAACAGCTCCATGATTTTCTTCTCTTGCTTTCTCATCTCTTAAGAAAGTTAGAAGGAAGGTGATGGTTGATGGTGTCTGGTCTCTGGAGCCAGAATGATAGTAGTGCTTGCTACTTAATTATAGCAGAAAAGTACTTTGCACTATTATACAAATCCATCACAGACTGACCACAAAAACACTCAGAGAAACCCTTAGCAGTTGAGAAAATAAATAAAAACTGGAAGATAAATAACAATTTCAGAGAGTCCTCAAGTGGCAAAGAATGAAGAAATAAAAGGTTAAGGTGGGCTTTTTTGATCTAGGGACAGAAATTCCTCTGTTCTGGTACCTTTACTCTGATGTTCCCAGCTAATAGCAGGAGGTAGAAGAGAGAGAGAAGGAGAAGCAAGGAAGAAGAATCAAGTAAAGGGAACAATACAAGGGAGAGGGTCTCTTAACAGGAGGATGCAAGCACAGTTGAAGGCTCCAGTAACATACTAAAAACAGGGATATTAGGGAAATTTTATATAGTGAGTGAGAATACTTCCAGCTCTGTTCACCACGCCCTCAGGTCCCTGTGTGCCATCAGCCAGGCTTATCTCTTGCAAACAGTAGATTGAGAATATTTTCTTTGGGAAATCTGAGAAGAGTTACAAGTATGCTCACGATGGGGTACTCCACAAAGAAACAGCCCAGTTCAGTAGTTTTATATTAAAATACACAGTAGATAAGGCCTACCCACCAGCCCAGAATTTCTAACAACTTCTTAGTTTTCACTCTTAAATATCAGCTCAAAGTGTCACTGAATATCTGAGGAAAGCTGAAGCCAAAACAAACAATAAAACTACTTGGTGGAAATAGAGATATTGAAGGGATAAGAAGACTTTTTAAAAATCTGGTAATTCCTCAGAGCTAAGAGAAGATAATGCATGAAACAAAACCAGGGTGCTATATAAAGGGGAACAAATAGAAGAAAAATTGGCAGAAGAAAAAATGAAAGACATAATAAAAAGACTAGGGGGAAAAAATTAGGAAATCCAGAGAGCAGGGCAAAAAGAAAAGAAAACCAGTCCAGGAAGTCAAATATTCAAACATTTGAAACAAAGAACAGAAAAAAACCTGAGGAGAGGAAATCAAATAATTCAGTATTTCCCAGAACTCAGTGTCATTAGTTTTAGATTAAAAGGGCTAACTAAATGTCTAAAACAAGGACAGAAATACACCCACATTTATTTTACATTACTGTGAACTACACTGGGGACACACATACTTCTCAGTAGCAACATTGGAAGCTAAAATATATTGGAGTAAGGCTGTTACATTTTGGAGGGAAAAGGATTTCCTACTAGAATTCTATATCATCTGCACCATCAGTTAAAGATAAGGGTAAACTAAAGAATTTTCACGTATCACAAAGTCTCTAAAACAAGAAAAAAGACAATGTGGAATATAGTAACGTGTAAAGGAAAGATGAAAAGGAGTCGCTAAGATGATGGTGAATGGAGATCTCAGGATGACATGCATCAGGCATAGAGAACAGACAATCCAGTTTTGAGCAGGTCAGAAAGCTCCAGAAAATGTATATCCCAGAAAACAAATTTGATAGAATGCCTGATATGTTTTAATGTATTAAGTAAGCATTAGGACAGAGTTTAGATGCATGATCAGGGGTAAGTACATAGAAAAGTAGTCATTGGAAAACAACACACTTATTTATTCTACAGAAAATAAAAAATGTGCAAGAGAGGAAAAGTAATCATATACTATATGGTTCAAAATTGAATGACCTTTTTGTAGTTATAATTATGTAAGCACTGCACATTGATTTAACTAAATCAATTACAATAATACTGGATGTTTGGGGATGTGGAAAATATGTGGGAGGGCAAGCAATGAAAGAGAGCTAAGCTAAATCCTTATCTGCTATAGAAGAAGGTGGATAGATAATACCCATACTTGAAAAATTGCAGAAAAGTAGATGAAGATAAACATCAAAAGAAGAAGCTGGAAGAGTTAAAGTTGTCTTTGAGGGCGGGAGCAGAGAGCTGTAGTTGTTTTTTTTTATAATAATTCTTATAAAACTGCCACATTAAACAGTAGAATTATATCAATGATTTTTTTTTCTGGAAAGCACTGAATAGTAAAATATTTTATACTTTGTGAGCCATGCAGTCTTGCAACTGTTCAGCTCTATAGTTATAGTACAGAGGAAGCTGAAAACAATACATAAGCAAGCATGAAACATCAATAATATCTTATTTGTAGACAATGAATTTTGAATTTCATATAATTTTCATGTCAGTATATTCTTTTTAAACATATAAAAGTACAAACCATTTTTAACTTTTAAGCCATACAAAAAGACACAGCAGGCTGGCTTTGGTCTGTGGGCCATAATTTGCCAACCTTTTCCTTAAGGCAATGTGAATATGTAACTTTGATGAAATAAATAATACAAGGAGGGGAGAAGAGTGAAAAAAATTGGCCAGAATAATTTCAAATTTGTTTCCAAATCTTGCCTGTTTTAAGACTTCTTGTTTTACCAGGAATTCTTTCTGAAGGACATGAGAAAGAAAATTAAGAAAGTACTTTTGTCAGTAGCCCCCTACTTTATAATTTTACAGTATTTCCTCATTTACCAGGCTTTTTCGTACATACTATCCCTTTGATCCTCACATTCTTGTAGTCTAAGTAGAATTGGGGTGTCTTTTCTATAGACCTAGATCCCTTTCTGTAGAGATCAAGTGACTTGCCCAAAATCATACACAGTTTATAAGGGACAAGTATTGAGACAAGAGCTTACTTCCAGTTTTTTCCTCCTGATTGCTTACTATACTATGTCTCAAATCATACAGTTTATAAGGGACTAGAATTGAGATGAGAACTCATTTCCTATTTTTTCCTCTTTGTTGCTTTGTATACAAATAATACATGAATATATCCTTGTAAAAGATTAAAACACTCCAAGAAAATATCATTAAAAAATCATTGTCCTCCCTCACTCCCATCACAATCCCATCCCTCTCCTCATACACACTCAGAGTTAATAACTTGTAATATGTTTGCTGCTGTATGTTGTAAAAGAAAATAGTTCTATTAGTTAGGAATGAAAAATTACAACTCTTTTTTTGCCCCAGACTCTTAAATTCCTAGCAAAGTGTCATAAGAAAAAGAAACTGTTTGCTCCTTGGCAAGGACTTCAAGACCTCACTGATGCACGCAGAGTTAAACTGAAGCAACAAGTGGATGACTATCTCCAAAGACATCCGGTATGCAGGCTTCTGTGCATTGATAATCAGTGTTACTTTTTGCCAGTGCATGATATTCACCAACAAAGTAGTGTATTATATGTGTTTGTGCATTTTTTATTGGTAAAAGGTAATACAGTGGCTTTACCATAGAGTTAAGGAGTCTTATAATTACATGTGCCATCGTATAGTCAATAACGAAGGAGACTGCTTCAATTCAGTCATCTTGCATAGTGTATCAGCAAAACATGGTCATTGCTTTTTTTTTTTTTTGCAATAGTGCATAAAACTATGTTGAAGCTTCCACAAAGAGTATATATAGCTTCCAGTCAGTAAATATTCGTTGTTAACATATATACCCAAACACATAACACATACATGTGGAAACTGACATCTGCTATTAATGAAACTCCAGGAGCCAATATTATAAAACAGTTGGCTGTTTGCCTCTTATGATTTTATTACTGTAATACTGCTAACACCTTTCTCCCAATAGAAATGTCCATATCTTTTACTTTCTGTAACCACAGTACTACATATCAGGTGTTATTTGCTTCTCCCTTCTGAGTTCTTGACCTTATACTCCTATATGTTTTTGAAGATCATTTTCCTTTCTGCTTTTAGAGTGATTCACCACCCTGTCATTAATTTTAATGACCTATACTTCTGCCAATCACGCTCACTTTCTCTTTTCTTGATGTTTCTCCCATACTTCCACACTTCACTAATTTTATGAGGAAAGTTGGGAGATTATACATTTCAGCCAATCAGAATGCTTATTGCCCTCACTCAAACTAATAACCACTCATGAAGGTACCACTTGCATACTTTTCACATCCGTTTTCTTGTGCTTCCATCGTTTGTCTCTGGGTTCTGTTTCTCCCTCCTCTCTACCCCCTCCTCCCCACATACACACACGTTCTCCCTCTTTCTAAAATCTGAAGGTTCTGGGTGACTAATGTTAGAGGCTAAGAATAATGTTAGGTAGTCCTATCATTCACCCTTTCATTCTTCCAGAGCTCCCAAAACTAAAGAGCCTTATGCAAAAGAAAACAAAAAAAAAACAAAATATAAAAAAACAGAAAGACCATTATAAATAGGAATTAGAGGACTAACATGTTATAGCTGAGCATGTATCTGATAGATTACCACTGGAACAGAACATTGGTAAAAGCAGAATTCGACAGCAAGGCTCAGTTGAGGAGGCATAAGTAAGGACTCCTACTTTTCCTGCCTACTAATCTGAATTTAAGAATTCACAAACTAATGTAGGCCTGTGAAAAAAAAAGATGACAAGCCTGCCCTTGTATTTCTGGCCCTCTGTGGTTACCACATAGAGGTAGACAATAGAAAAAAGTTCTGACTTCTGCTTCTATCCAAGATTTAGGAACAGGGACAGAATTTACTCACTGCCCGAAACAACTGGCGGTGGGGGGGGGGGGGGGGGGAGATAAAAAACGTGAAACAATGGTTTTCAAGTCAGTGGGCATCAGACAGTGAAGGTTAGTAATTCCTGAGAGGGAAGATGGGGTAAAAGGGACTGGATTTACTTCCTGCCTGAAACAACGGGGGGGGGGGGGGGGGGGTGCGGGTAGAGATGAAATACATGATGAAATACATGAAACAATAGTTTCCAAGACCATGGACATCAAACAATAAAAATTAGTAATTCCTGAGAGGGACCAGAGTGAGCCATATGATGACCCTAGCTTATTACCCTGAGAGAGTTTCTAGGTCACAGCATAAGGAGGAGGAACAAAGGAGGAGCTCTTTGGAATCCCATGCTGAGGAGATGAAACTGAGAGTCTGAGGAGAACAAGGTAGCTAGATTTCATAGGACAGAGTACCGGAGTAAAAGGAGATACAAAGAGAACCCCAGATATCTGGAGAATGTTCCCTTGAGTATATTTCAGAATTCTGATTAGTACATGTATATAAGGAAACTACCCAAGGCCAAGGAAACAGTCATCTTAAAAGATAAAAGAGAACAGTGCCTGGTACTCAACACAGGTCCATAGTGCATGTTCCCATCAAACAGACTAGAAAAACTTAATCCACAGGGCATCGGTAAGAATACTCAGGAAGGTCTTGTCTTAGTAGTAGAAAGTAAATAGTATATACTGATGCATTCTGCCAAACAAATCATAAAAGCAAGAGCCAAAAATACCAAAAAAATTTTATGTAATTTAACCACATCTCAGAAAAAGCCTCAAGATTTTTAGAAATACCAAAATAACTAGCACTCAACAAGGTAAAAGTTACAATGTCTTGCATTCAAAGATTAATAAGCATATATAGAGGCAGGAAAACATGACCCATAATGAGGAGGACACTTAAACCACTCTAGAGATTACACAGATGTTAGAATTAGCAGAGAAGGACATTAAGAGTTATTATTATAACTATATTCCATATGTTCAGATTTTAAGTGGAGATGTGGAAGATATAAAATATACCCAAATCAAACTTCTAGAGGTAAAAATTTCAATGTGTGATATGAAAAATGCACTAGATCATTAATAGCAGATGAGACATGGATGAATAAGATTAATATAGTTGAAGGTATAGTAGTATATACTATGCAAAATGAGTCAAAAAAAATTTTTTTTAATTGAAAAGAACATTAGTGAGCTGTGAGTCTTCATGTGGCCTATTAAATGAATAATTGGGAGTTTCTGAAGAAGATAGGAAAGAAAGATAGAAAACATAATGGCCAAAAACTTTCCAAATTATAAATTTACCCCCAAGTCCAATGAAGGCACAGGCACATGGGGAAAAAACAAAACAAAACCTATGCCAAGGCATATTATAATGGGATTCCTCGAATCAGTAATAAAGTAAAAATCTTAAAAACAGAAAACAAAAACATATAAAAACAGATGACATATTTCTCAGCAGGAACAATGCAAGTAAGAAGATAACTTTAAAGTAATTGAAAAAAAAAAGCTGTCAATGTAGAATTCTTTACTATGAAAAATTATTTTAAAAACAAAGACAAAATAACTTTTTCAGACATACAAGTGATAAAGCACTTTGTCACCAGCATACTCACACTACCAGAAATGTTACAGCCTTCGAGTTGTAAAGGATTTACGATTTCTCTTAAAAATGGTACCACAAGAAGTCCAACTCTACCTAAAGAAATTAAGAAGCACTGAAAATGGTAACTACATGGGTAAATATATGACTTTTAACTCATCTTTTAAATCTTTATAAAATATAATTGATTAAAAATTTTTTTTAATGTTTATTTATTTTTGAGAGACAGAGCATGAGTGAGGGAGGGGCAGAGAGAGAGGGAGACACAGAATCTGAAACAGGCTGCAGGCTCTGAGCTGTCAGTACAGAACCTGATGCGGGGTTCGAACCCACAAACTGTGAGAAGTGGGATGCTCAACCGACTGAGCCACCCAGGCACCCCATAATTGATTTTTTTTAAAACCAAAATGTCATCAAATGTTCTGTAATACATACTACAGATTAAATATTTCCAGTTTTGTAGACCATATAGCCTTTATCATCATTATGCATCTCTGCAGCTGTAGATTAAAGCAGTCTTAGATAATATATAAACAAATACTTGTGTTTCAGTTGAACTTCATTTTCAAAAATAGGTAGTTGATTATTTGAAACAAAAGTAATAGCAATGTTTAATGGTGTTTGTAACATATGTAAAAATATAATGCTTTGCAAAAATAGTATAAAAACCAGGAGAGAAATAGATGTATACTATTGAAAAGGTTTTATACTATATGTGAAGTGAGTGGATTGATAATTAAAGATGTATACTCTGAATCCTAAAGCTACCAATAAAGTTAAAGAACAAAAGAGTTATAGCTAATAAGCCTATAAAGGAGATGAAACAATTATAGTCGATTAATCAAAAAGAAAGCAGAAAAAGAGGAAAAATAAAAGAAAGTAATGGGAAAATGAAAAATAATAAAATGATAGACTCAAACATAACGGTATCAATAATTATAATAAATTTAAATGGTATGAATACCCCCAATTAATAAGCAGAGATTGTCAGATTAAATGAACAAGTATGACTTGATTATATGTTAACTACAAGAAACACACTTTAAGTATGAAAAAATAAAAAGAACAAAATGTGCAAACACTAGTGAAAGAAATCTAGAATGACTATATAAATATCACAGTAGATGTCAGAGCACTATTACTAGATTATTACCAGAAGTAAAGAAGGCAATTTCATAATAATAAAAGGGTCAATTAATCAAAAGGACATAAGAATCTAAATGTTTATGCACCTAATAACAGAACTTGAAACTATATGGAGACAACATAGATGAACTTTGAGGCATTATGCTAAGTGAAATAAGCCAAACAGAAAAGAACGAATGTTGTATGATTCTACTTAAATGAAGTACCTAGAATAGAGATGGGAAATAGAATGAATGGTGGTGTCCAGGAGTGGGGGATGGGAGAATGGGGAGGTAGTGTTTAAATGGTACGGAATTTCAGTTTGGAAAGATGAAGAAGTTCTGGAGATGGACCCTGGTGATGGTTGTACAACAATGTGAATGTATTTAATGTCACTAAACTATACACTTAAAAAGTGGTTAACATGATAAATTATATATATATTTAGCCACAATAAAATGCATGAATCAAAAACTGATAGAACTATGATGAAAAGTAGAGAAAGTCACAATATAGAGATTTCAATACCCATTTCTAAACAACTTACAGGATAAATAGGCAGAAAAGCAGCAAGAATATAGTAGACTTGAATGACACTATCAGACAACTTGATCTGGTTGACATTTTTAGAACCCTCCATGGAATGACAGCAGAATACACATTTTTCTCCTGTACACACAGAATATTTACCAAGATAGACCATGTTCAGTGGCATAAAACAAGTCAGTAAATTGAAAAAGACTGAAGTCATACAAAGTATGTTCTCTGACCACAATGAAATTGTTTGAAATTTAAGAACAGAAAGATCTCTAGATATATCATCCCCAAATATTTGGAAACTAAACAACACATGTCTGAATAACCAAAGGATCAAAGAAGTAAAAAGGGAAATTAAAAAATATTTCAAACTGAATGGAAGCATATTTCAGAACTTGCTGATGAATGGATAAGGAAAATGTGTGTGTATATATATCTATAGATAGATAGATAGATAGAGATATAGATATACACACAATGGAATAGTACTCAATGATGAAAAAGAATGAAATCTTGCCATTTGCAACAATGTGGATAAAACTAGAGGGCATTATGCTATGTGAAATAAGTCAGAGAAAGACAGAGATAATATGATTTCACTTATACATGGAATTTGAGAAACTCAACAGATGATCATAGGAGAAGGGAAGGAAAAATAAGATAAAAAACAGGGAAGCAAACCATAAGAGACTCTTAAATACAGAGAACAAACAGGGCTGCTGGAGGGCAGGTGGGTGGAGGGATGAGTTAAATGGGTGATGAGCATTAAGGAGGGCACTTTTTGGGATGAGCACTGGGTGTTATATGTAAGAGATGAATCACTGGGTTCTACTTCTGACTAGGACTACTCTGTATGTTAACTAGCTTGAATTTAAATTGAAACTAACTAACTAACTAAATAAATAAATAAATAAAAATTGAACTTGCGGATTCTAAACCAGTATTTGGAGGGAAATTTATATTGCTGACCATCTATATTAAAAGGAGGTTCAAATCAAAGACCTCAGCTTACATATTAAGTAACTAGTAAAAGGACAAGTTAAACCCAAAGTAAATAGAAGAAAGGAAATAATAAACATTTGAGAGAAATCAATAAAATAGAAAACAAAGACAATAGAAAAAATTTAATAAAACAAAAAGCCAGTTATTTGAGAGGATCAATAAAATTGATAAACTTGTAGGCAGACTAATCAGGAAAAAGAGGAGATACAGATTACCACTGTCAGGGATAAGAAAGGTGACCTCATTGTAGATACTACAGATATTAAAGGATAATGGAATATTATGAACAACTTCATATGTCAATAAATTTGATTAATCTCATGAAATAAATTCCTTTAAAGATAAGAATTACAAAGCTTACCGAAGAAGAAAGAGATAAAATGAATAGCCCCTGTATCTATATATATAGGTAACAAATTGTAGTTAAAAACTTTCCTCAGGAAAAACTTGAGGGAAAGATTGGTTTTACTGGTGAATTTAAGGAGGAAATAGTGCAAATTCTATATAAAGTCTTCTACCAAACTGAAGGGGAGGCAATACTTCTCAGCTCATTTTATAAGACCAGCATTACTCTGACACCATAACCAGAGACATTACAAGCAAAGAACTTCAGAACAATATTTTTCATGCATACATGAAAAAATTCTAAACAAAATTATAAGAAGTTGAATTCAGCAATCTATTGAAAGGTTAATACATCCTGGGATTATCTCAGGGATTCGGGGTTAATTTAACCTTTGAAAATCAATTAAAGTAATTCACCATATTAACAGACCAGGAAAAACAATTGTCATCATATAAATACATGCAAAAAAAATTTCAGCAAAGTAGGAATAGAAAGAAACTTCCTCTATCTGATGAAGAATATCTACAGCTGACAATGATGAAAGACTGGATGCTTCTTTCCTGAAATCAGGAACAAGACAGAATGTCATTCAGTACAATCAAAATCCCAGCAGGCTTTTTTTGTAGAAATTGACAAGCTGATTCTAAAATTCATATGGAAATGCAAAGGACCTAGAAAGGCTAAAATAACTACAAAAAAGAACAAAGTTGGAGGTTTAACACTACCTGATTTCATGAACTATAGAGCTGTAGTAGCCAAAACTGTGGTACTGATATAAAGATTTTAAAAAAATAAATCAGTGGAACCAAAATCAAATCCAAAAATAAACCCACATATATGGCCGCCTGATTACTGACAGAGGTGCACAGTTAATGTGTGGAGAAACTGGAACAATTGGATATCCATATGTAAAAAACATGAACTTGGATCCATATACTGTATCATATATAAAACTTAAAATGGATCATAGACTTAAATGCAAAATCTAAAATTATATAAAACTTCTAGAAGAAAACATTAGAGAAAAGCCATACTTTTGGTTGGGCAGTAATTTCTTAAATACAACAACAATAGCATAATCTACAAAAGAAAAATTGATAAATTGGTTTTCATCAAAATTTTGAACTTCTGTTCTTCGAAAGACACAATAATAGAATTTTTTTTTAAAAAGCAAATATTGGGAAAATATCTTTGCCAAGTATGTATCTGGTAAAGGACTTGTATCCAGAGTGTAAACTCAACAATAAGAAAACAAAGCAAAGCAAAGCAATTTATTTAAATAGGCAAAAGATTTTAACAGACACTTCACCCAAAGAAATTGTGGCAAATACATGAAATATTGACATAAGTCAATAAAGGAAATACAAATTTAAACCATAATAAGATCTTTACACAACTGTTAAAATGTCTAGAACTTTAAAAGTTGACCATGTCAAAGTTTGGCAAGCATGTGAAGGAACTGTAGCTCTCTCATACACTGCTGATGGGAATGCAAAATAGTGCAACCCCTTTGGAAACAGTTTGGCAGTTTCTTAAAAAGTTAAACGTATATCCATCATATGATTCAGTGATCCCACTCTGAAGTATTTATCCAAGTGGAAAGGAAATATATATCCATACAAGCATTTGTAAATAAATGCTCATAGCCCAAAACTAGAAATAACCCAAGCATCCATCAACAGATAGATAAACAAGTTGCTCTATATCCATACAATGGAATACCAGTCCACAGTATAAAGGAATGAATTATAGATACACACAGCAACATAGATGAATCTCAAAATAATTATGCTATGTGAAAGAAGCCAGACAATATACATTGAATTACCCCATTTATATAAATTTTAAAAATGTAATCTCTAAAGTAACAAAATTAAGTCAGTGGTTATTTGGGGGTGGGAAAGTAGGGAATGAAGGATTACAAAAAGGCAATGACACTTCTGGTGGTGATGGATGTTCATTATCCTGACTGTGGTAATGGTTTTCACAGATGTATACATAGATCAAAGCTTACCAAATTTGGGGCACTTGGGTGGCTCAGCCTGTTGAGCATCCAACTCTTGGTTTCAGCTCGGGTCATAGTCTCATGGTGTTGTGGGTTTGAGCCCCGCATTGGCTCTGCGCTCGTAGCACAGATCCTGCTTGGGATTCTGTCTCTCCTTCTCTCTTCCCCTCTCCTACTTGTGCTGTCTCTGTCTCTCAAAATAAATAAATAAACTTAAAAAATTTTTTAAAAACCTTACCAAATTGTACACTTTTGATAATTGTAGTTAATTGTATGTCACTTTTACCTCAATAAAGCTGTATGTTTAAGAAAAAAATTAACCTAAATGCAAAAGAAAAGAAAAGCAAACCTTTTCTTTTAAAAGGGAGAGTAATCCCTTTATAAAAATAACATACCCAAGCAACACATACACAGCAAGTAATTCTGAATCAGTAGGTTTGGTGTGTCCTCATGGTTCTATTTTTTAATTTATTTCTTTTAATTGTAAAATATATAAAACATAAAAATACCAAACGTAAAATTACCATTTTAATCATTTTTAAGTGTACAGCTCAGTGGAATTAAATACATTTACATTGTTGTGCAACTATCACCACCGTTCACCTTCAAAATGTTTTTCATTTTGCAAAACTGAAATTATACCCATTAAACACAAATTTCGTATTCTGTCTCTCAGCTCTGTTCATAGCATCCTTTGATGCACAGAAATTCTTAATTTTGATGGAGGTTCAACTTGTCTGTCTTTTGTTGTGTCTGTGTCTTCAGTGTCATATTCAAGAAATGGCCAAACCTAATGTCATGATTTTTCCCCTTTTATTCTGAGAGTTTTATAATTTTCTCTCATATTTAGGTCTTTGATCTCTCTCTCTCTCTCTCTTTTAATGCATTTTGTATGATGTTGATGCATGCTCTCATTTAAAAAACAAGTATTACTTCAGCCATACTCTCGTGCTCCTGTTTAAGATTGTGTGGCTGAAAAGTAAAGTGTTAGCTGGAGTGGGACTGTATCCCAGATCCAGGAACTGGAATATTTGAGCAAGCTGTGGTGTCAGAAGCTTGATTGGCTTCAGAGTTAAGATTTTCTTATTCTTGTCCAAACTAATTAAGTTCTCTTTAAAGTAGCTGTGTAGCCAAAGGAATATGGTCCTTTAGCTGATTTTTTTCCCTTGTTTTGTGAAACCAGAAGCAGTTATAACATTATGGTTTAGATAAGTTTGGGAGTGGGAGTGAGATAAAAAGCCTGTCAGGTGGGATCTGGAACAGGGGTTGGGCTTGTTATTCCTCTTCCAGGCCAGTATCTTTACCGAACCATTTGTAGTTTTCACTAAGGGCTCTTAATCTTTCCTCTTCTCCCAAAATTCTACAGTATGTGAGGAAGTGAGGTATGGGAATATACCAGAAAGAAACTATCCTCTGAATTTTCATAAAGCTGATTTTAAAAACCTACTTAATGCTTGAACAAGAGTACAAGGTCGAAATCAATCATGAGATTCATTTGATAGGCTGAGATAGCTAAGCATTCCGGAACCTCTGCTAAGTGGTTGGGTGAAACATGTCTCCTGTAATAATTTTTTCTCTTCTTTTTTCCCAGAGCTCTCAGATGTCAGATGTGACTAGCAGAGAGCTCCATTCCCAAGCTCAAGAACAACTGCAACACTACCTTATGGGCAGGGTCCTAGAAGAGAGAGCCCAGCAGCACAGGGAGGCTCTGATGGCTCAGATCAACACCAACATTGAACAATTAATGAGTATGTGCTTGTTTATTTTGGTATCCTAAAATGAACAACCTATGCAAGATTTTGTGACATTGAAAATCTTCAGAAGGAAAATACCATTTAATGTTTATTAGCCTATTTCTTGTCCTCAGAAATTTCTAGATCCAGAACATGCCAGCACATGATCTTTTCAAATAATGCAGATCTCATAACCTCCTTTTTGGCTATTTCTCTAAGCCTTGCTATCATTCATAGATATCAACTTAGACAAAAGTTATTAATTATAAAGATGCTAAGCCCTACTAGCCAAATTTCATTATGTAGTCTCAAAAGCTTTTGATAATATTTTAGAAGTAGATGACAGTAGTTACAGTGCCATTTTATAATTTTTTTTAACGTTTATTTTTGAGAGAGAGACAGAGTGTGAGCAGGGGAGGGGCAGAGAGAGAGGGAGACACAGAATCCAAAGCAGGCTCCAGGCTCTGAGCTGTCATCACAGAGCCTGATGCGGGGCTTGAACTCATGAACTGCTAGATCCTGACCTGAGCCAAAGTCAGACACTTAACCGACTGAGACACCCAGGAGCCCCCATTTTACAATTTTTAATGAAGTGTTTTCACAAAAGTTAATTCATTTGCTTTTTACAACCATAGATACATTTAGGGAGAGATCTCATCCTACATTTCAGTCCACCTATGAAACACTTTTCGTGTGTACGGAGCAGAAAGGACCAGGGTCTTCTGTTTAGTGCCATTACTTGTGAATTTTTTATTTTTCAATAGATGGGTGGCTGGAACTGAGCCTCTCATATATAGGATGGGGTTCTGCTATATTTTAAAAATTCATGTTCTTTAAACCATCCAAAAAAACCTACATCTTTTTAAATTCTTTTCTTTTACACAGTATGGGGGGTGGGTAGTTAATGCCAGCCACAGCTTCAACTTATGAATAGTCATATGCCATCTATAGCTAGCAATGATAATAGATTCAGAATTGGAACCCTATCCCTTGCCTACGAGAGCAGAGTTCCAACTCTATACTTTCCAAATTCCTACTTGTTTGATACATAACTCTTCTACTCACCTGTTTATTTTCTGTTTACTACAGAGGCACCAAGTCTGAAGGAAGCAGAAGGGAAGGAACCTGAGCTCTTCCTAAGTAGATCCAGGCCTGTGGCAGCCAAGGCCAAGCAGGCCCATCTTACCGCTCTGAAGCATTTACAGGCACCCTGGTGGAAGAATCTTGGGGAAGAAGAAGGAGATGAGATTGATGTCCCAAAGGATGAGCTCAGTGTAGAATTAGGAACTTTATTCATTGGTGGAACCAAACCCCCTTAGGGAGCTACCCAAAGAAATGACACTTATTTCAGGAGATTGTATTGGTTCTGCCTCTGGCATACTAGTAGACTAGAGCTATCCTAACTCATTTCCCGAAATTCCTCTCCAGATAAGATTTTCAGGCAGTAAACAAGGAGTTACCTTCTACCTCTATCTCAGTTCTCTTTTTTTTTTTTTCCACATTACCCACGCCACACACAAATTAGGATGGCTTTTATTGTGGAACTAACCTCAGCATGGCATTCTATTGTTAGATGAAATGTGGTAGTTCTTTTGTTTTTGCTGTTTTCCTACTAAACATGTTTTCTAAATAAATATTTTCAACAATTCTCAAAAACTTGTCAGGATTACTTCAACTTTTCACACTTATTGTTTAGAATGCATGTGTTTCTACGAATATAAAAAGTATGTTCTTGGCCTAATTTATTAAGATCAGGAAAAGAAATGGTCATTTGAAGGGCACCGCACTATTTTCTACCAAACAGTGCTTGAACTCATTTTCTATCTTGTTATTTCTAAAAGAACTACATTAAAAAAAAAAGTCCTAAGAAGGGTGCCTGGGTAGCTCAGTCGGTTGAGCATCTGACTTCGCCTCAGGTCATGATCTCATGGCTTGTGAGTTTGAGCCCCATGTCAGGCTCTGTGCTGACAACTCAGAGCCTGGAGCCTGCTTCAGATTCTGTGTCTCCCTCTCTCTCTGCCCCTCTGCCACTCACGCTCTGTCAGTCTCAAAAAGAAGTAAACATTAAAAAAAATTTTTTTAATCCTAGTATTCAGCACAAAAAAAATTCCTTCAGATAAATGCATTTGTTCTGTTAAACTGTGAGAATTGTATAACTTACTGTTTCCCTTTGTCTTATCTCCTATAAAAATCAGCTAAATATAATACTTACTTTGTGTTATGATCCTAGGTACCTATAGAGTTATTTGGTTGCAACCTAATACTTTCTAATTTTCCTATTTATCTTTGATTGTGTTTTAGTACCAGAAGCTACTTCTGTTTGTGTTTGTAACAATATAGAATTTAAATTAAAAACATTTAACAAATCATGGACTCAATATCATGAGGAACCTGTATGATGCTTTTTGTATAAATGAGTGAAAATACCATTATTTCTGGATAGGAAGACCAAAGAGTATAATGTCCATTCCTCCAACATTAAGTTTAGTAAAATTCTAGTCACTATCCTAATGTAATTTTTATTCATAATTGGGAAAGAAATGTACATAATTCATCTGTAATAATCAGTTGAAAGTTCTGATTTCACTTAGAATGTAGAAAGCTAGGTGAAAATGTTGCTCCCCTGTTAAAAATGCCAGATAATCTACAAAAATAATTTTTCTTGAGCCTATCTGATAGTTGAGGCCTCAAGACAACCAAGTAAATAGAGATGTGACTCAATATCTGTGAAATGAGCTATTTCATCTTTAGCAGAGCACAGGAGACAAAGGTAGCTGGATAAGAAGAAATCAACTAAAATTTTTACAAATTCTTAAAGACCAAGTATGGGGTAGCATGTCAGTTTAGAATATCTAGGAGCCTCAGTGGGGAGAATTTAGAACTTCCATCTAAAAACAGGCAAGGTTGGGAGCAGGACAGCAGGCCTGAAGAGATGCCTTTTGTGATGCATGCAAACATGTGATAGGCTGCTGCTGAGTGCGGTGCCCAAATCCCTGCCTGCTTTCCCAAACCCTTTTCTTAAAAGCTTTAGGCTGCTAGAGCAGGGGTAGCAAGGCTCAGAGAAAATCCTACTACATGTAAGAAACAAATAGAAATAAAAACTGTCTCTGGAGGCAGGATAGAAAACACTAGCTCCAGATACTGGTACAGATACAGTATTGCTGAGGGAGGGACAGAAACAAAATCCCTCTCTTGAGAGAGGAAATCATCTTAGCCCCAGAAATCCTACACGACACAAGGCAGATGTCTCCTAATGCTGGGG